ACAGGCAGGACACACACACACACACACACACACACACACACACACACACAAATCAACAAAAAGCCAGTTTAATCCACGAAGGATGCTGTGCCAGGTTCTGAATGCCAACAGGCACTACAGTACATAATGGTCAAAGGTATAAGAGCTATTCAATTCAAGCCTAGGTAACGTTCAAACAAAAAAAAACTATGTCTGAGAGGTTAGATGCTCTTGATTCAGGCTCTGAAACCAGTCTATAGCTTTCCTATTATAGTAACTAAGTGTGAGCAGACAATCTATGCCCCTTTCATATATTTACTACTTAACATTTGGCTAAATCAAAACCTCTCTGAACATTTTGAACCGACATTCTCACTGCGCTGCCCTAAATTAGTCTGGAACGAGGTATCAAAAGACCGAAAGCACAAAAGACACATGAAGAAATAAAGAACAGGCTGTGCATAAGATCACTGGTCAAGTAAATAAACCCCACCGAAGAACTGCACAACTCATTGTGATTCTTGTTACACTGTAGTTTACAAATGCTGAAGGAAGATGGCTAATTTACATGTTAATGAGAAGAGTCAGTAAAGAGGCCAAAGAACCTCCTCTTCAATATTCATGTTCCTCTGTTATGCGCTGTTTTCTGGACCTTCACTGAGGAAAGTGATTGTTATTGTGAAGGAATGTAAAACAGAGTTCATGCAGCTACTACTTGGAGAAATGTGGAATGGAAATAAGTGTGTTCTGGTCAATAAATCAAGTTGGGTTAGCATTATTAGCTGTAAGGGATAAAACCAAGATTTTTTAAATATTATTATTACTGTAGTGACTTCAAAGAGCATTCAAATAAAATCCCACATTACTACCACAACAGACACTCCATTAACGTTCTGAAAAAGTAGGAATGCAATATTAAAGTTCTAGTTTCAATAAGTTAAAATTAAATATTGAAATCCTAATATTGAATTCAGGCATCACAACATGTAAAATTAATATTCATTTCGAGATTTGCTAAAAATAAGAGTGTCCTATTATTAGTGTTTTTTATAATAAAAAAAAATATATTAAATTAAAAAAAATTACCACATATGTAATCTAAATTAAAAAAAGGAAAATGCACAATTAATTATAAAATATCAATCAAATATAAATAGAATATAGGTCTTTAACAAATATGGCATAAATAAATCTCTATGAAAAAGTATCGGATACTTTAGTCTGCTACAAATAATGTAACTGTACTGTAGTTGTCTTGCTGTAACATTTTACTGGCTGAACAAATCAACACTCTGACATGCTTTTCTTCCTCTCACAGCCTTGTTTTCATTTGTGTCACATTAAGTATAGTTTCTACTAGTGCTGGGCGGTATACCGGTTCATACCGAATACCAGTTTTTATTTTTGTTATGATATGAATTTTGAAAATACCGCAATACCAGTATATGTCACTTAAACGTTTCTACTCTAACCAAGGTCTACAAACTGACTGAATGTGTCTCTTCTGAGTGCGAGATTCTCCTGGTGTTCACCCTGAATGATGAGGCATGAAACTGGCAGGGCACGGAGAGCTCTTCTACCTGTTCTAATGCACCCATGATGAAGGCCATAGCAGCTTCATGAATCAACTGTCAGGGTGGAACATTACCTCCTGCAGGGTCCTGCGTAGCCGCAGCAGAAGAGTCTTTACCGCTGTGCAGTCCTGCTGCATCAGCCTGAACGGCAGCGCTTCCAGCCCAGGCAAAGATTCGTCATCACGAGACAGACAGAGGGACATCGGCCGCTGCTCCCTGGAAGGATCACAAGAAAAAGTCTGAGATTTGGGGTCACGATACCAGAAATTTCACAGAAAGTGGATTTCCAACATATATTGGCAAATGAATGTGCATTCAATGCAATTCAACAGTATTTTATGCAATAACCATATCAATTTCAATTCTGTTCTCCACTGATTGGGATTTAAACTAGAATGAAATGTAAATAAACCTCATTTTTGTCTATTGTTTGCATTGTGCAGATTTCTGCGCAAATGAACAGATCAGTCATTCATGCAGAGAATGGGATCAAATTAAACTCGATTAGGAGCGCTTCTTGAAAACGACAGAAAGACAAAGGGTCAGAGTGGAGAAAAGACCCTCGAGAGACACTCGAGAGGAACAGTCATACCCTCTTCATCAGGCCTTTCATTGGGTCCAAGTGGATACTAATCTATATATAAACTCAGACAATTAGACCGTTAAGAGGTTACAAAACATTACTTTTTTTCAGTCTACTGAGATCTTGACTGAATGACACAGCATCAATATCAGGGGAATTATATGAAGGGGGAAAAAACGTCTATTCCAAAGATGACGTACACAATATCAAAAGACTTAACACCCGAAGGTAAGGCAAGATCTTTTTCGAGACAAAATCTATTTCGTTCTTCATTTTTTAAAGAACAAAAGCTTGATGTATATCAATGGTGTATATCAAAGATATCTTCGAAGGAAGCACAGGGTATTTGGACCGATAGAAATCTCTTATTGAGAGTTCCACAAAAAACACGAAGAGAGAGACCTCTTGCTAATTACGAATCTGATTCTGCTCAACAGAAGGATCACATTGCAGCTCCAGACTTGTCTTTATATGTTTCTGGGTTTCAGATCGAATTTAATTCAAGGTGCTTCAGATATAATTAAGTATTTATGTTTTTTTTTTAAAGTACACCGACAACAGAAGATCAAAAGGAACCTCAGAGTTTTTGATTAGAATTAAGCATCGATTCCTGGGAACCCCTCCAACGAGAGAGTAGCAGAGTCCGTAAACACAGTCAGTCTTCCAAACAAACGTCTGACACTTTTGTTGTCGTTTTTCATTACCATGCTGTTTATTTCAGGGCTTTTGTGGTGAGTGTCCTTGGAGCTGCAAGAAGAAAGCGAAATTTCACTTTGCTACTCCATGGCAGGTTACAAGCTTTCCATCTCACACTTGTCAATTAATATCACCTTCTGAAACATCCTCTCTGAAAAATGGGAATATGTTTTCTTGTTTCTCAATCCATAGCATCGACCGGTAAAAACATACTACCCATCCTGAAGGATATATCAATTGTTTCTGTTTTGCGGATTTACAAAAGATTTCATAAACGGCTTGGGTTGCTAAATGCCTGAGAAAGCATAGACAGAATCCTGACTTATTCATGATCCTCGCGCTGAGACACGGCATAGGAGAAGGCGTTCTTATTCAACATACTCATTAAAATATTAGAGCCTGTATAACTCAGTGTCTGCACAGAAAGCCAGCAGCAAAAGCACGGTTCATTCTTTGTTTTTGCCTGTGAGAACCGACTACGGCACCTAACAGATTCCTCTAATATTGTATTTTACTGTGACACGGAGTCAACTGATGTATTTGTCAAAGCATGGCATGGAAAATCGATCATTGCACACATGAATTATAAAAGCAGAAGTATGGAACCACAATGTTTACTACTTAAAAAGGAAATCAGAGTGAGCACTGCAGAAGTGATTGTGTATTGTGCCTTAACAATTCTAGATTTCCTTTAGCTCTGACGCCTGAGGCATTCAACACCATTCTGAAATGTTTTCAGAAAAAAACAGAACTCAATTTTGCCACTTTCAAGCAATTTCCAAACACATTAAAAACATAGACCTGGTGTTAAATGGCACCTCCTATAAACACAACTGTCAGTGTTATTATTCTGTCTGGAAGAGGGCGTTATTTACTTGAAAGAAGCTCTGTGCATCGGGTAATTATCTAGATTCAATCATTAATTACAATTTTAGATGTCAGGGCCTCTATGATTCGGCTTAACAAGCAATGTGATTGCTACAATAACTAGAGAAATTTAAAGTTGTGAGGTGAATCTCACTGTGACAACACTTTGCCTATAAACATGCTAACAAAAATTAAGCCTTCCAATCTTATATGAATATGCAAGGCAGGAGTATAGCTGCCATACTTAGTGTTATGATTTCTTCCATTAATCTATTTATGACCATCACGTTAATTTATAGCAATAAAGCCTATGTAGCCTCTAAAATGCTGCCTACGTAGGCAGCTCACTAAGTTTTGGAACAAAGCCTGTATATTATTTATGATATCATATGATCCATTTACATTTAGTTGAGGCAATGCAGTTATTAATCAGGTCTTAGGACACACTTTGCTCCGAGACGCACCTAAAAGCTGCTGACCTCAGGGTGTTTTCATTATGCTTCAGTTGCAGCTTTGTCTCTACATTTACACTAACAGTAACACCTACATATTTCACTTTAATCATTCAGTCACCTGCATCACCCCACTACATAATATCCATTATCACCTCACTTCTGGCCATAATCTGATTATGCCAATGCAAACACTGTCACCAAGTCTGATCTTTTATGCATATGACCTCTGCTTAGCAGGTTGACAACCCCCCTCTGTGTGAGCTCTCATTTAGAGGTTGTATGTTATTTAAAGTTGTTGAGGGGCAGAGCACTGGAGTTCTGAACTGGCATCTGTCAGAAGTAAAAGACTCCCTAAGGTGAGTCGGTGCTCTGTGTTACACCTATTTGCACCGTTTTCTCATCAGGCCATTAGCATCCTCATTAGCATTAGGCAAGCCTGGCTCTTTGTTTTTTTAATCACACTTTAACTTTGCACTAGAGGAGCAAAGTCCCGCCTATGTTCATAGTTGCAAAGACATGTGTTTGGAAACCAGTAATCTGAATGCTTGGCTTCCAGAAGCAGTGTTCAGATCAGAGAAATGCTCACAGTCCTTGCTAGTATAGTAATTATTGTAAGGGGAGAGATCCAAAAACTTGTGCCCTTTTTCTGCTGGCAAACAAGATACAGAGATGGACTGCTGTAAACATTGAGAGAGTCCACAAGATGCAGTCATCTTTGATTGTGAGCATGAGAGAGAGAGGGGGAAAACAGAGTGAAAAGTGGTATTAAATGAATTTAAATGATCTTCCCTACCAGCCAAAGACAAATTTTCACACTAGGTGTGGGTGGTATGACCAAAATCTTTTATCACATTATGAGTAATTTTATATCATGGTAACAGTATCATTCACAATATAGTTATTTTTTTACTAAAAATACCCCAAAATTCTCATATACTACCTTTGATTTGTGGGTCAGTAAGATTTATTTTATGTTTTTGAAAGAAGTCTTGCACCGAGGCTATATTTCTTAAAATATTGTAAATATTATTACAATTTAAATGGTTTTCAGTTTTAATTTATTTTACAAGTTATTATTTTGAATGTAATTTATGGAAACATTATTATTATTATTATTATTATTAACAATGCTAAAAACAGTTGAGCAGCTACATTTATCTGTGAAAACCATACTGTTTCTGGATCATTTGAAAAGAAAAGCATTTATTTTTATTTATTTATAGATTTTTTGTACGGTCACTTTTGTTCAATTTAAGCATCCTTAAAAGAAACCTTACCCAATATGCTTTTCTTTTTTTTTGCTTATTCATAACAAAAATAATAAGTAAAAATATTGTGTTCTCTATATTTGTATAAGCCCTTAAAAAACCCACATTGTTTGACTACTAACATTCACAGACCACTCATTTCTTCATGCCATTGGCCATTTTGTTTATCCAAGCAAGACATTTTGACAAACACAACAGACTGCAACAAATTGGTCAAGTCCTATGAATGCTAGGATTTCTGGCAGCAATACTAGAAGTCAACAGTTTTCACACTGCCATCACCCATCTCCCTCAAACTCAAATTTCTGAGCTTTGACTCATTTTTATTACGACGACTAGCTTCAGGCCGGGATCAGCAACCTCGGCGATGACATCATCTCTGTTTGTTTGTTTATTCTGAACTTTTCAACCCCAAACATCTGAAAAGCTTAAATGTGTTGATTCTGCTCATTACGTGACATCCCTTGTGGCTTAATTGTGGTTTATTTATTTCTAGCAGGGAATTAAGCGATGATGTCAGAGCGGACGCGGTAGTGGTTGCAGGCGGTTTGTTGACATTAAAGCAATGTTTCTGGTTGATCAAATATTTATGCATTTAGAAGAGTCATTTTTTGAATGTCTTACATGAATGAGCTTCATTTAAAATTGACAAATTCGACTTTCTCCCCTCAAAAAATATTAATAGCTTTAAGAGATGTTCATTTTCTATTAGAAGGTAACGATCCTTACTGTATGGGGGAAAACAGAGTGAAAAGTGGTATTAAATGAATTTAAATGATCTTCCCTACCAGCCAAAGACAAATTTTCACACTAGGTGTGGGTGGTATGACCAAAATCTTTTATCACATTATGAGTAATTTTATATCATGGTAACAGTATCATTCACAATATAGTGATTATTCTCATATACTACCTTTGATTTGTGGGTCAGTAAGATTTATTTTATGTTTTTGAAAGAAGTCTTGCACCGAGGCTATATTTCTTAAAATATTGTAAATATTATTACAATTTAAATGGTTTTCAGTTTTAATTTATTTTACAAGTTATTATTTTGAATGTAATTTATGGAAACATTATTATTATTATTATTATTAACAATGCTAAAAACAGTTGAGCAGCTACATTTATCTGTGAAAACCATACTGTTTCTGGATCATTTGAAAAGAAAAGCATTTATTTTTATTTATTTATAGATTTTTTGTACGGTCACTTTTGTTCAATTTAAGCATCCTTAAAAGAAACCTTACCCAATATGCTTTTCTTTTTTTTTGCTTATTCATAACAAAAATAATAAGTAAAAATATTGTGTTCTCTATATTTGTATAAGCCCTTAAAAAACCCACATTG